GGAGACCTCTTGAAACTTGACAGGTGATACATAATATATAGATTTGTTTATACATGTCTTATATTTGGTTTACTTTTCAAATCTAGTGCCAGAAACTGAGATCAACAGGTATGTTGCCAAGGCACGTTGAGTTCTTTGAATAGAAGGAAATTGAGATGTCCCACAAACCAAAACTCTGTTTTTCTGTGTCCATTTCCTCCATTATCACAATCAATACAAATTAAGAATTCTTCCTTAAAGTCCACCAGAGAAATCAGAGGCTCTGTCTCCTAAAGCCTGACATAAAATCTAGATGTATTACAATTACCTTATCTTTCTTATTTCTCTGTGAAGCAGCAGTTAATAAGAAAATTGTCTGAGCTATCTTTTCAAATAGATTAACAAAAGTCTCCTTCCAAAAGCAGGCCATACTCAAGAGGAAATGCTATAGACACATACCAGGAATAATCAGAGCAGAAAAGCCCTAGCTCTTTCCCTGGAGCCTAATAATGTATGCTCTTTGTTGTTCAATCTTAACTCCACACATTGTCCAGCTGCTTCAAACCTTAGCACAAAAGTGGACGATTCTATCAAGGGGATTTGTGTTTGATTTATACTGACTCTGTTATAACATAAATTTTGATTAAATAAACCTATTTCTCTTTTCTACTGTCAATCTACCTTTGGCTATGGAAGTGTCAGTGATGACCCTTGTGATATGGAGGGGGAGGTTATATATTTGTCTACCCTTTTATGTTGTTTATCACAAATGTTGGAATATCCATGTCATCTCTGAGTTTGATACAATGTATACTCTGTTTCTTGGGGCTTCTTTTTTTTGCTTTCTATTATGCCTATAATTTATTAGTTTTTGAAAGTTAAACAAGATATATGTGTAATGAAGTCTGAAGTATCAGAGGTTTATAGTAAATTTTTAGGCTACCTTGTCTAAGACTTGTACTGTTAATATTTTCTATAGCTTAGCTGCTAAATGGTACAGTTTTGAGGGTTTTTTTCTTTTTGTTTTATTTTGAGGGTTTCCCAAAGAACTTCCAGAATGACCCATGTTGGCTGCAGATGTCTGTTGTAGCCAATGTTTAACAGAGCTCTGTTAAAGTCCTGGGGAGGAGGAATTTGTCTATGCCCGAGATTAAATCTCAGTTTTCTTAGCAGGTATATGTTCCCTATGGTATTAGCTCATTTTCCCTCTGGGCATTGCCAGAAGCAGGAGGCAGAAGCTGACTAACAACACTTTTTCTAGGCCAGATAAAGTTCCTGGAAGGAGCATCCTTTGAGGATAATCCCTTGTTACTGGGAAAACTTTGTGACATTCTCAAGTTGCTTCTTTCCTGATTTTTCTGCTGGAGTGCAGGAGTTTTTGTCTCTGCTCTCATCAGTAAGAACCTCATGAAGTTCAGGTAAAACCCATGCAGTTTAAAGACTTTATAGAAAAACAGCCCCACTATCTCAAGATAACAGGCACTCAGCCTCCAGCAATTGTTCACTCCTGCTTTAATTCAGATGTTTTTGCCAGCTATGGCTCCTGTGATTTTTACTGTTGCTGGCCAATTCTCAGTGATGATGTTGTATTTGCTCACCTTTCAATTTTCTGACTGGGGGATTTTTCCTATGACCTTAACTGTCTGGTTAAATTAAGGAGGATGGACACAACCTGAACATTTTTGTTTGTTTGTTTTAATATGAAGTCAATAGCAATGAATTCAGTCTTACAAATATTTTTAAGTAGAAATCAGATTCCCAAACAATATTATACAGAATGTAATTTTCCTTGGTATAGAATTTAAGCAATAGGTTAAAAGCTTGGATGATCACCTTCCTTTGAAATTTCCTTTTGTTCAGTTTAAGTTTACCCACTAAGCTCTTTACTCAATTATTGCAGGAGAAATTTCATTTATGCAATTTCCATGAAGTTTAAGTTGCATATATTCATAACACCTAATAAATTATATATTATATAAACCACAGTATTATTTTTCATGGCTTTTTCTCTTCATTGTTACTACAATTTTGATTAGTTCTCTCTGGAAATATGTCTGTAGAAGACCTTAATATGTACTTATTTATATTCACTGGCTGTAATTTATTAAGCAAATAGTCTTATGCATATAATTGATAGAAATTTATATATTTCATTTTAGTTTTGCAAGACAGGGTTTATTTGTACAGCCCAGGAACTAGCTCGGTAGACCAGGATGTTCTTCAACTCAGAGATCCACCTGTCTCTGCCTCCTAAGTGCTAGGATTACAGGCATGCACCACAACCATGTGGCAAAATTTTGTATTTTTAAGTATAATAGCTTTACTCTTTTTTTGAGTACTGTTAGTCATAAAGCTGAAGATATTTGTTATTTTCCATAAGCTAAAAATAATGACTGATTTTATATCACTTAACTTCCTATATTCCACTAAAGGCACATAATTCATTGTGCTTCAGAAATACTGCTTTTTAACTAGCTTCCTACATTTGTTACATTTTAGAGGATGCTAAGCAGTCACACAATGTGCTAAGGAACTCTGACATAATATAAAGGAGATTTAAAAATTAAGTACATTAAGTTGAAATAAGTCAAACATGGCAGTTTATTTGTAATTCTGAAGCAAGTTAGAATATTATTTTAAATAGCTGACACCCTTGTTTCAATATGAAATGCTATAGCATTTCAGGGACAATAAATTGATCCTAGATAGTTGTCAAAAGTGCTCCTATATTTATCAAAGTTCATTGAGGTGTATCTATTCTTACATCACTGCCAGAACCCTTCTTCACCACAGATAGGCTACACTGCTTCTGTATATCTCTTAGTCTGTCCCTTCTCCTTCTAAACTGATTCTTAAAAGCTGCTAATCATGTCACAGCTTACTTAAGACTGCAACATGTCTCACCCTACATTATTCAAAGCTTAAATATGTAAAAAGTGACTTGCTAGGAATGGTGTTAAAGCTTAGGTTTTTTTAATTGTCAGGTCTCATTGTCCTTTGGTAATAATCTAACTGGAGATTATTCATATTTTCATCTGCTTATCCCTCATGATAATGTTACACTATGTATTAGATTTCTTATGAATATAAAAAATATCAGTGGGACAATTTAACAGAAAGAAAAACATATTTTGGCTCATGGTTTTAGAGGGCTTAGACTATGGTTACTTGGCCCAGTGCACTTGGACAGAACATCCTGCTGGCAGAGGATATGAAAAATGAGAGCTGTTCACTTCATGGTATATGGGGAAGTAGAGTGAGAGGTGACAGACAGGGGAATATTATAGTGATCGAGGTCCTCCAGTTATGTCCCATTTCCTAAATAAGATTTTATAACTTCCCAAAGCAGTGCACCAGTAGGGGACCAGGCACTGAAAGCAGTAGGTCTGAAGGAAGAATGGTCTTCAGTCAATAACACAATGACTTCACTACACAGGGCATTAGTTATCTGATTACCATTCAATAATTAGCCTAACATGTAGTGATGCAAAACTACGAGGCTTACTGTTTCTTACAAGTCTCTAGATATACTAAGAGGTCCCTTAAATCTCTATTATCTTAAGAAGACCTCAGTTATTTCCCATGGACTCAGTCACACATCTCTGTTCTGTACCAACACAATGAGCATATCTGTAACCCCTGTCCTGTTTCTGGGAGATCTTTTATCCTTTATGGGATAAACTAGACTTTTCCATATAGTGAACTACAGGTATACCAGCACTTAGTGTTCACTTTTTAGTATGTGGTCATTTGTGCTATTGTCAATTAAAGTGTTATCATATTCCCTTGGTATATATAAACCACATAGAAATCTAACACACAGGAAAAAATGGAAATAAACCCAATTCTTCAGAAAAAGTAGTGGAAAAACTACAACAGCATGGTTGGACCACACTTGCATCAGAATCTGTATGAAGTTGCTTTCTAGGTATAGGAATCACTTTGCCTACACCTTCCATTAATTGAAGACTTAACAGGATGGAGTGTGTTAGACTTATAGAGTACCACAGTACTTACAGGCTTCCAGTGTAGAGCAAGGACTTTCTCTTTAATGGTGATAATCTTGAACGTTCCTGCCTCTGTTTCAGTACTTGACTGCCATCTGAAACTACCTAGTGCTGCATTTCTCTACAAACCACAGACTTTGGATTTCCTTTTATCCCACTTGGTGCTTTTTTTCACTATAGACCTGAATGATTCATTGGTAATAACCATCCAATAGAATCAATATTTTGTCTAAGAAATCAGCCCATTTCTTTTTCATTTTGCCTCACTCAATAAGAAAGATTTGGGGCCTAAATACCACTCAAATGACCTCTTGATTAATTTTTAGAGACTTTTTATGAAGGAAATCCTATAAATTTGACCTTAACCATATGCATTACCATTGACCATCTCATCTTCCAGACCCTGCAGGAATAGCGGACTAAGCTCTGTAGATAGCTTTCTGTGGATTTTGCCATCCAAAGTCCTGATATCTTCCACATTCTTCCAAAAGAAAACATTCCCAAGGCTGTTGCAGAAAAAAAAAATCACTTTTGAGGTACAATTTTTTTTATTCTTACTTGCTTCTCTCTTGCTGTAATTAAATTCTCTAACCAGAAGCAACTCAGGTAATGAACAGGTTGATTTGGTTGACACCCCCAGGACACACTCCATCATTGTGGGGGCTTAGGATACAAGCTTAAGATAATAACTGAAGGCAAAACCACATGGAAACATGGTTTTCCAGCTTTCTGTCTTGATTTGTCACTGCCTGATGCTCAGCTAGGTCTCTTATACAGCAGAGTTCAACTTGCTTAGGGATATTATCACCCTCAGTGAGGAACCTTCTCACATCCATCATCAATCAACACAATCTCTCACAGTCATTGCAACCAACCAGTATGATCTGGTCAAGCCATTCATTGAGGCTCTCCCTCAGGTGACTCTAGCCTATTGTCTTGCTGATAGTTGAAGAAAACTAGGACACACAGACACATATTTTAAAATCCAATACCAAGGTATTAACCATGTAAACCACTGAGATGTAACAAAATCTTAACCATGATGACAGAGAAAAGCATAGGTATGCCAAGCAATAAGGAGAGGGAAGGCTCTAAGATTAAGAGGAGAAATCTAAAATTCTTTCTCCACAGAAAGTTGGTTTTGGGAAACCAACAAAAACTCAAGGAACTCATAACAATACAGTAAATTTTCAAAATACAAAAATAGGCGAAGGTCCCTCATTTTCAGAGAAACTATAATATAATTAGATTATAATTAATGAAACCACACAACAATGATGGCACCACTGATAAAAGGAGACAACAAAAAGACCTATAAATATAACACTGTCCTTTAAACAAGGACTACAAGATTATAATTATAATCAAAATCAAAGAAATCATTGGCCAGCACTCACCATATGTATTCCAGTTCTCTCCTTTACCAATAAGAGAAAGTGGGTTGGCAGTGCAGTGTTGTGTCACCAAAATGGGAAGGCTTTGTTTAAAGCATTCTGATGTGTCATCATTGTAGAAACTAGTTTTGACTGCTGAATGTATTTCATTCCCTTATGATAAAGAAAATGATTTCTGAGAGGATCACTTATAAACCATTTTGTTTTCTATGATTGATAATTGAAAGTAAGTCTGTATTAGAATGAGAAAATAAAAGCTTTTAAAAACAGATGCAAGGTAGCAGATTTTTAAAGAATCATTGAATGATTTGTATTATATAGCATGCAAAGCAACTAGTTTTGCTCTAATTGCTTTATAAGTCACAAGAACTTTTGAAAACAATTATCCCCAGCTTTATGTGTCTATTTGGGTGTGTGAGAGAATGTCTTCCATGAGTTATAGGTGACACACCAGCAAAGAGGGTGTCAGACACCCTGGATCTGGAAGAGCAGGTAGTTATGAGCCTCCCAATTTGGATGTTGGTATCTGAATTCAGTCATCCCCAGCAAGAATACTTTCTAAGTGATCTGCCCAGCCCTCATAGCACTTTTTATCTAATAAGCTAAAAGTCTTTTACAGATTAACCATGATGAAAACAACAACAATAATAATAACAAAACAACAACAAAAACAACCCAAAAAAATAAAAAAGAGTAAATGAACAATCCCTGGGAAATGGATACATTAGTATTAAGATGTTGGGTATGGAAGCAAGACACTGCCCACTGCCCGATAAAAAATCTTTAAGCCTGCCCAAATATCCCAGATTGCATACACTACACCCCTACCCAACCCCACATCCATGGCTCCATAACCTGGTCTACAACTTTTAAAGAAGACTTCCCCATCCCCACCTCTGGCTACTTATCCTGGTCAACATCTTTCAAAAAAGTCTTTCACTGTGCAGAGACCAGGCCTGATCTAGGGACCCCAGTTAAGACAATTCCCACTACCCATAACACTCTTTAAAGCCTGACTAGTAACCCCAGACTGTACTCCCTACCTTGGGCTCCAAACTAGGATCCACAGTCACCAGCAGATGTACCAAAGGCCAGAGCAGTCCCCAGGACCCCAGGGAATACACTATCAACCACGCCATAAAACCCTTTAAGCCTGTCAAACAATTCCAGACTTCATCCCCACCCCTGGACCCCATATCCCAGTCGACTACTTTGGAAGATGTCTTTGGCTTTACCAGAGACCAGGAAGGTTCAATGAAGCCCAGGTAAGACAGTGCACAGCCAGCTAACACTCCTCAAAGCCCGCTCCACAATGCCAGACAGCACACCCTCCCTTGGGCTCCAAACCAGGGCCCACAGCCCTTACAGGAAGTGAGGATGCTCCTAGGAACCACAGGTAAGACACTGCCCACTGCCCACTAAACCTGTTTAAGACTGTACACAGTGCCCCACTCCCCACCTCTGGCTCCATTTCCTGGTCTACAACTTTGGAAGATGTCTGTTTTACCAGAGGTCAGGAAAGATCTAGGACTCCCAGGTCTGAAACTTCAGAAGAATCCAGCCTTCCTGGAGCACAGGCTGGGACTAAGTTCCCCAGCATGGCAGCTCTACTAGAAGCCAGGCTGGTCCTAGGGACCCCAGATGCCAGAACAGATCGAGGGACCCCAGTCTGCAGCTCCCTCTTTTGGGCTCCATATCCTGGTCTACAGCTTTGGAAGAGGACTTTGGCCTTAGCAAAGGCCAAGCCAGATCTAGGGATCTCTATCCCAAAGAAACACAGAGGAGATACCCTAATGAACCCAAAGACACACTTGTCACCAGAACACTTGGCTATTTAGACCAGAAGACCAAAGAGGCAAGAGAAACAAAGGAACAAAACACCCACCTAGCAAAGACAAATGCAGGAATAGACACCTAGACCTAAAATCACCCCAAATCCAGATGGCTAAATGCCAGTTTTAAGAACAAAATCAATAATAGAAAATCCAATATGGCATCAGCAGAGCCTACCTATTCAATAGCAGCAAGATCTGAACAATTCAGCACAGCTGAAGCATAAGAAAATGGCCTTAAAATTACTTTATGAAGATGATAGAGGTTCTTAGAGAGGATATGAACAAATTCCTTAAAGAAATTGAGGAAAGGACAAACAAAAAAATGGAAGAAATCAATAAATCCCTAACAGAAAACCAAGAAAAAACAACTATTTCAAGACATTAAAATGAAAATGAAAGCAATAAAGAAAAAAATGGAGGGAATCCTGGAAATGGAAAACCTGGGTAAGTGAACAGAAGCTACAGGCTCAATCATCACCAACAGAATACAAGAAATGGAAGAGAGAATCTCAGGCATTGAAGACACAATAGTGGAAACAGATTCTTCAGTCAAAGAAAATGGTAAATCTAAAAAATTTCTACCAGAATATATCCAGGAAATCTGGGACACTGTGAAAAGACCAAACATGAGAATAATATGAATATTAGGATAAGAGACCCAGGTAAAAACTGCAGAGAATACATTTAAATAAAATCAGAAGAAAAATTTTCCAACCTAAATAAGGATATGCCTATAAAGGTATAAGAAGCTTACAGAACATCTAATAGATTGCATCACAAAAGAAAACCCCCTCGCCACATAATAATCAAACACTGAGCATACAAGACAAAGAAAGAATATTAAAAGCAGCAAGGGAAAAGGATAAGTGACATATAAAGGCAGACCTATTAGAATCACACTGACCTCTCAATGGACATCCTTAATTCCAGAGGGACCTGGACTGATGACTTGCAGACTACAAGAGACCATGGATGTCAGTCAAGACTACTATATCCAGCAAAAACTGTCAAACACTGTAGGTGGAAAAAGTAATATATTTCATAACAAAATCAAATTTAAACAATATCTATGCACAAATCAAGCCCTATAGAAGGTACAAGAAGGAAAATTCCAACTCCAGGAAGTTAACTACACCCATAAAAACACAGGCAATAGATAATCTCACACCAGCAAAACCCAAAGAAGGGAAGCACACAGACATACACAGATACACACACACACACACACACACACACACACACACACACACACACACACACACACTACAACTACCAACAAAATAACAGGAATTAAGAATCATTGGTCATTAATATCCCTCAATATCAATGGACTCAATTCACCAATAAAACAGCATCCAGCATTCTGCTGCATACAAGAAGCACACTTCAGCATCAAAGACAGATATTACCTCTGAGTAAAGGGTCGGGGTTGGAAAAAGATTTTCCAATCAAATGGACCCAAGAAGAAAGCTGGTGTAGCTATCCTAATATCTAATAAAAAAGACTTTCAACCAAAATTAATCGAAAGAGATAGAGAATGGCATTACATATCATCAAAGAAAAAAATCCACCAAGGTGATGTCTTAATTCTGAACAACTATGCCCCAAATGTAAAGGCACCCACATTTGTAATACAAACAATACTAAAGCATTAAATCACTCATAGAGCCTCACAGAATAATAGTGGGAGACTTCAACACCCCACCCTCACCAATGGACTGATTATCCAGACAGAAACTAAACAGACAAATAATGGAAATAACAGACATTGTAACTTAAATGTACCTAACAGATGTCTACATGTTGGGCCCCATAAGGCCCAGGCTTGTGGCCCAGTGTAACTTCCTGAGCCTAGCTCAACTTTGGCAAGCTGTCCTTGGACATGACTTCCGCATACAAGTCACTCAGCACTACCGGACCTAGAATCACCTCTGCCTAGTAACTGCTGAGATAGCATCATCTCATGGGCCTGCTATCCTTATCCAATCCCCCCATCACCCCAACCTATATAAGTCCACTCCTGATACAATAAAGCGAGTTCCTGCTTTGACCAGACTCCAGGCTCAGTGTGCTTCTCTCCAGTGGAATGGGGAGGTCTGGGCCGTGGATACTCATCATCCTGTTCAGCCCCAGGGAGAGATCAGCTGGACCGGTCCTGCCTTTGCCCTACCTATCTGTCGGTCAGACTGACACCTACAGAACATTTCACCCAAACTCTGAACAACTCTCTACTGAGTTACCACTGGGTCAAGGAAGAAATAAAGAAAGAAGTTAAAGACTACCTAGAAGTCAATGAAAATTATGCACAACATACCCAACCTTATAGGACTTAATGAAAGCTGTGCTAAGAGGAAAGTTCATGCCTTCATGAAAATGTGGACAGATCCCATAATAATGACTTTTAACAGCACACCTGAAAGCTCTAGAACAAAAAGAAGCAGACACACCTAAGAGAAACAACCAAACTGAGAGCTGAAAACAATAAAATGGAAACAATATATCACAGAGCAGGGGAGGCCAGCTCCCAGATCTGCTCCAGAGCTAAGAAAAAGAGAGCCTCAGAGAACTGAGGGTTTAAGAAACATTCTTATCTGAAGGTTAGACCTTCTCTATTTGAGGGGGAAATTAAAGAAACACAGATACTTTCTGATGGTAAATTTCTCTTTACTTCATCTTAAAATTTTCTCTCGCCAGGCAGTGGTGGCACACGCCTTTAATCCCAGCACTCGGGAGGCAGAGCCAGGCGGATCTCTGTGAGTTCGAGGCCAGCCTGGGCTACCAAGTGAGTTCCAGGAAAGGCGCAAAGCTATACAGAGAAACCCTGTCTCGGAAAAAAAAAAATTTTTTTTCTCTCTAAAGAATCTCTCGTCACAGTTTCCTAATTGGCTCTTCACCCCTTCTCATTGCCTACTCAGCAGCTTCACTACTTCCCTTTCTACTCCCTCCACATCTGTCCTTCTACACCTTCCCTCAGGTCTCTCTCTCTCTGTACTACCACTTCCCTGCTCATCGCTGCTCTTCTCCTTCGCTCCTCCCTCAGCCAAACTCGGGTACATTTTTGAGGGTCCAATCCATTCTCATAACACAAGTAAAGTCCCATAGATCCTCTTAGGCTAGGAATGTCACATAAACCAGGCAGTGAGCAAGCGCATGGTCGCTCTAGTTGGTGAGGGTTCCCAGACAGTAAGTAATTGACTCAACCTTGAATTACTAAGAAAGTTGTGTCTAATACGGTCACTTCAGTTTTGACCTTGAATTATCAATCAACAACACCTGGGGAAATGACCTCATGTATATGTCCTAGGGGCAACCAGATATTCATCTCCAGAGGCAACCAGCCTGCTTTGAATCTGCCCTGAAGTCCAAAGTTAGCTGTCTGTTTAAAAGACTGTCTTTGTGACTGAGGATGCTGTTACTTTCCTGTGTCAGCTAAGAAGAATATTCTGGTATTATTTCTATCATCAGAATCATACAGCTTGAGCAGAAATAATCTTCTTGATTGTCTACAACTATAAATATGATCAAAGACGTAAAACACACTACCAATGGCAGTGGAAGGAACCCCACAGCTGTTCTTTTTAGGGAGTTAAAGAAGTGGCACATGAGAGAGTTACAGATGAAAAACAACTGGTATTCATAGCCAGTCACCCCATGGACTTTGCCAAGTGGGGCCACCCCACAGACTTCCCCACGGACTGTGCATAGTGGGGCTGGATGTTGTTTAGCGGGCTGCTACATGGACTTTGCTAGTGGGGCTCTCCAACAAAGAGTTATACATCTGGAGGGTCAGCTTGTCAAACACTAGCTGTCACATGCTATATATTCCCACAGTCTCTTTCACAAAAACAATACAAAGAAGCAATAAAGCAAAGAGTTGGTTCTTTGAGAAAAATCAACAAAATAGATAAAACCTTATCCAAGCTAACTAAAAGGCAGAGAGAGAATAGCCAATTCAACAAAATCAGAAATGAAAAGGGGTACACAACAACAGACACCAGGGAAATACAGAGAAAATTACCACATTTGCATCTCACCTCTATAACAACTCTTACTACAAAAAGCTTGGTATTTAATTATTCTCCTTCACATACTAAAAAATGAACATTAGAAAAATCCTCTGATTGAGGCCCGCCTGGGATACAAAGTGAGTTCCTGGAATGGCGCAAAGCTACACAGAGAAACTCTGTCTCAACAAAACAAAACAAAACAAAATCCTCTGAAGGTGATCACTTTCGCTAGATTCTGTGCTCTCTCCCCCTTCACTTTCTATTGCTACCTGTAGTGTAGACAAGATGCTGGAGCTCTCACATCCTTCTGACAAATGAGAGGGCAGCAAGGGTTAAAATCAGAGAATTAGATGGGAGAAAGAAGTGAATGGACATAACCTTGGCCTGGAATTACATGCTGTTTCCAACCCGTCCAACACTACAGTGAGAGTCCTTTATACGTGTGCAATCCTTTAATCACTGCTGTTGTACTCTTCACTTAGCACCATGTCCTCTTGAGGCCCTAGGTCTGTCCTCTAAGAGTGAAAATTTAGGGTATTTTCATATTTAGGCCCAACCTGCCACTGTCAGAAATTATTTTGCATGCTGCCACAAAATCCCACATCACATTCAGATTCATCGTTAAATTCTGGAAGATGTTTTATTTTCCCTCTTTTTGCTTTCTCAATTAAACAGTACTTAGTAGATCTTTGGTGTGAACTTAACAATGTATTCTGTGTCATTAAACTATACTGCAATCCTCTTTCTAGGTTTTTGTATATTATTTCAATTCAATTTCAGTTTTACACATTTACCATAGTTTGTAAAACAAAAGATTATATACTATAGTATTTTTTACCCTTTTATACTTGGACAAACACCACTATTAAAATTAAATATTTTCAACAACAAGAAGAAGATATTGGGTTTGTTTAATTTATAGCATAAATTCAATATAATCCACAGAAAATTCCCAACAAATTATAAGAAAGCTGATTCCAAAGCTATGTGCCATGTTAAAAAAAAAAACAGAATTCACAATAGGATTAAGAAAGAATGGTACATTGATATAATTGATATAATTATAAAAGTCAAAAAAAGTCAAAAATAAAAGTCACATTGATATAATGTGACTTTTGTACTTAACACAATTCTACAATGAAGAATGTGGACAATATTTGTGAAAGAATAAGGGGATAGTGAGAAAAAGGCAAGAAAGTACAAAAATATAATCAATCTTTCATCAAAAGACCTAAGAAAACTCAACCAGGAAAAATGTGAACTTGAACTATGTTACCTGTAGCTAGAGTTTTCCTGCCTGGCCCACAGTCAGAACAAATCTCTGTCACCCGCCAGTCCCACAGCTGCTCAGACTCAACCAAGTAAACACAGAGATCTATATTGCTTACAAACTGTATGGCCGTGGCAGGCTTCTTGCTAACAGTTCTTATAGCTTAAATTAATCCATTTCTATAAATCTATACCTTGCCACGTGGCTTGTGGCTTACCGGCATCTTCACATGCTACTTGTCATGGCAGCGGTTGAGAGTGACTCCTTCTGCCTTCCTGTTCTTTCTTTTCTCCTCTCTGTTAGTCCCACCTATACTTCCTGCCTAGCCACTGGCCAGTCAGTGTTTTATTAATTGACCAATTAGAGTAATTTGACATACAGACCATCCCACAGCAGTTACCTATGATTGTACATATATAGAAACTAAATAAACACAGACTTCTTTACAACTCCCAAAAAATAACTCAAAGTTACCCCTAAACAGCTATATTTCTGACCCTCCAGCTACTAGTGATCTCTCTTCCAAACATAGAGACACCATGCTCTAGAGCTCTCTCTCTCTGGAATTGGAGATGATCAGAAATGTTGGTTATGGCTATGCATCCCCTGGTTCCCCCTTGTGGTTTCGGGCAAACCCAGTTTGACTGATGCCCCTACACACAAAGCAATGTTGAAGAATAATGTCTGCTTCCTGCCACATTGATTATAGCACAAGATGTGGAATCTGCCCTATCTACCTGCACAATACCATGAACACCCAAGGAACCTCTGCAGCTCAGAAATTTCTTTTGTTCCCTGTAACTGAATTTCCCTAAATCATGCTATTGTAACTGGTGGTAGAGGAAAGTTAAAAGCATTCTAATTAAGGATTTCTGAACGATGACCCTGATTACCTCATTTCTATCAGTTTCTAAACGACTTGTAAAACTTATCACACAAAACTGGATGTGGAATGCAATGTTGAGAATTTCTACAATTCAGACATTGTGTTTTCCAGGCTGTCTTCCCACTGCACACCAAAAGCAATGGCTTTGTGTGCACAGAGGACAGTAATATTCTAAACGCCAAATCTCCCATAGCCAGGTCTGCAGAGCCTCCCTGTCCCTAAGG